ATGTTAGGAGGAGAAGGATATTTAACATTTATGGGAAATGAATTTGGACATCCAGAATGGCTTGATTTCCCAAGAGAAGGAAATGGTGATTCATTCCATTATTGTAGAAGACAATATAATTTGGTTGAAGACCATTTATTAAGATATAAATTTTTATTGGCTTTTGAAAGAGAAATGCTTCATTTAGAAGATCAATATCCATGGTTAAATAAACCAAATGCTTATATCTCAAAACATAATGAAGGTGATCATGTTTTAGCATTCCAAAGAGGAGCAGTTATTGGAATTTTTAATTTCCATTATGAAAAGAGTTTTACTGGATATGGAATTGGAGTAAAAGAACCAGGAACATATAAAATCATATTAAACTCAGACTCTTCAGAGTTTGGAGGATATGATAGAATTACTTCTCAAGAATACATCTCTCAACCAATTGAATGTGATGGATTACCAAATCAAATTCAAATTTATATTCCTTGCAGAGTTGCTATTGTTTTAACAAAAATAAATTAATTCATTCAAGTCTGAGAATTCTTTTGAGTTTTTTTACACAAATATGACGTACCAAAAGAAAAATAATAAAATAATGTTTATTCATTTAACTTATTTAATAATAAATAAGAAGTTATTTTTATTTGAAAATTAGTTGATAACGGGTTATAAAAATTAGAGTTATAATACCATAATCAGATTATGGATAGTCGAAAAAACCTATATATAGTTTTTAAATAGGTAATTTCAATTTAATGGATTTGGGAACTAACACTGTTGGTATTCTTTTTTTGTGATTATGTTTTTAACACAACAAAAAGGGAACATTTTTCTAAAAACAGAAAAGAAAAAGAAAAATGGAACAAAAAGAATTATTAACGCAGCAAAGAGTCGTAATTTTAATCATATCAGTAGTTATTACAATAACATCGCTTTGTCTTATAAATATATAATAACAAGAAATAATTGAGGTCACAGTAAAGAAGTGAAAAAATAAAATATCCAGAGCATATTTTTTTTTGAAAAGAAACTACTAAAAAGAAAGGTATTTTTCTTGATGGATAAGAAAACATACATTGAACAAAGAAATTATCAATCTAAAGTACGTGCATTATGTATTGCACTAATTAATAGACATGCTGATATAGAGATTAAAATTACATCTAAACGCTCAAAGTTAACATTACCATTTTTGAAAATAAATACAATATCCTTTACTTCTGAAGACGTTATTGATTTAAATAAATTAATAAAAAGAAGAACATCTGATTTAGCTGAATTGGATTTGGAACATAAAATACCTCAACAATCAGCCTTATACAGAAAAAAGAAAAATAGTTATAAAGAGTCTATTAACTTTGTAGTTGACTTACTCATAGAATTAGGTTATTGTATTACCTTTTTTGAAACTAGTGGAAGAAATAAATCTTTAAAAGTTGATACTATTACTAGTATTCAAAAGGATGGTGAAACATTTACTTCCTCTCAGTTAGAAAGAATTGGACAAACACTTTGTATTAATCTTGTTGAAAGAATTGGTTCAAATAATACACTCTTTCTAAGAAAAAATGATTTTAAACTTATTGCAATGACTTATGCTTGACAAATATTATCACCTCACATATATTCTAAAAATTTTACACATCATTTATAATGATTATTTTTCCTCATAATTTCTTTTTTTTATTTTTTATAATTGTTATATATAACATAATATTATCTAAAAAAATAATCATATTTAAAAAACAAAGAATAACAATGAAATATTTATTTATGATAATCATGACAAATAATATATCCACTTTTTTAATATATTAGACTAAGTTTATTATTAACAAAATTATAAAGACAGAATAACAAAAAAATAAATGTTGAATTATAAACATAGTTTTTAACTGACAGTAATTGGAATTTTTCCTACTAATAATTCATGTATTATTGGATCATTTCTTTCAATAATAGTATTTCCATCACCTTCAGCACATTTTTCATATAAATATTGATTAATTTTCATTCCGATTTGAGTTATTTGTTGTCTAGAATAAGCTTTACGTCCTTTAAAATACATAACATTAACAGTCTCTGCTATAGCAGATTTATTTTTTCCAGTGGTCTTACTTGTTCTAAATGTAAACCCAAACTCATTTAGAATATCACTTAAAAGATGAAGAACTTCTGTAACTTTATTTGTTTCATACCTTCTAATAGCTGTTTTTTCTCTTAATCCATTAGAAAGATCTAACTTCATCATTTCTTTACATCTACGTTCAATTAAGTCACTAATTGCAATTTGATCATCTGCTGAGAATTTTAATGAACTTACTGTTACAAGTTGTTGAGTAACAATAGCTTTTTTAATTGGTTTTTGAATAATCATAGAACTAGATTGGTTTAAAATTCCAAGAAAAAGAGCTTGTTGGTATACTTGGTAATTTCTCATCTCACGATATACAGTTGACATAGACTGATAATTAAAAAGATTATTGTTCTAATTTAAATATAACTGTGTTTTTTATATATCAGGGGTATCTATTTTCAAAAAAACTTCTTTTCATTTTTATAAAAATAGAACGTAGTTCTTTATTTTTTTTTCGTATTGACCATGTTTTTCTGGAATGATAATCAATCCAAGTTTTTTTTTTTGACGTTTTTGTACTTTTTTATCTTTCTTTATAAGAATTACTTTCATACTTTGTATACACAAATAACTAACTTATTATGATCTATTCTTTCAAAGAAGAATAATTTTTATTTAACATTAAGAAGATGCTTGCCTCATTCTTATAAAATAAATTCTTGTTCCAAACTTCATTCTTTTCAGTAAAACAAACAGGAAATTAAATCCTATTTTATTTAAAAACTTATTTGTTCCCTTATTCTTTTTTTAGAATTTCTTTCTATTTTTATTTCATTTTCATCTTTTCTCCTGTCTTTCATTTTTTAGTTATTTTAAGA